GCACCCTGGACCCACACGCATGCACACCCTCTGGCTACACAAACCTAGGAATCTACCCACAGGGACGTGTTTGCAGGTATACGTACAGAGTCAGTATAAGAAAGCCCTGTATTGTGTTGTTGTAGTAACCCAGAACCTGGAAGCAAAAGAAATCATCAGTCCAGGACTGACTGAGGAAACGCTGGTCTGTGCTCATGGTGGATAAGATAAGTCTGTTATGAAGAGTAAGATGGAGCTAAATACCCTGATGGGAAGTAACGGAATCACAGCACCTCTTGTGCTGCACAATCTCACTTTGCTTTGAACACAGAGGCAGAGACAGAAGTCAGGCAGGTCCAAGCATCTAAGGTGCAGGTCACCTCCAGGCTTGGGTCAGGCTGGGCAGAATTGGGAGAGGATTTTTTTTTCCTTGACTTACATAAATTCAAAACAAACAAGGGATGGTTTTAGTTTTTTTATCATTTTCAGTCATTTCCTAATAAAATTCTGCAGGACACAGTCAGAAGTAATTGATCCAATGACTATTGCTAGTGGCTGGCATCTATCACGACAAGTTTCCTCAAAAGGAACTTCCAGTGACCTTTAGGGAAAGGGTGTAGCCCAGGAATGAATTGAGTCTTGAGGCTGACTAGGTCCCTCGTGCCAAACCACAGACATCTACGTGGCTGATCACAGTGGCCTTTGGATCCACCCAGAAGGAATAGCTGGGTGGGTCACCTTGTGGCTACACACATCCCCAGATGTGTGGGTCTGTGTGTGTGTGTGTGTGTCCTGAGTTTGCCACGAGTCTCTGGCTGGGCACAGAGATGTGGTATGAAGGCCAGAGTGTGGTCAGAAAGCCATGGTCACTGGGGACAATGCCACCAGCAGGGCTGTGACCTCACAGATGGCTTTACAAGGCTCTCAGTACAGAGGGAGGTGTGGGCCCCAAGAAATTCCCAGGCCAGATACGCCTTCCAGACTCTCTGACAGCCGGCCTCAATGCCTAGAGCCGGGCAGCCTGTGTCAGTCTTCAAGGGGAACGACTATTACAGGGGGCTGCCGCTGTTTGAACTGTGGTTCTGGCAAAGATGTGAACTACACTGGGGACTGCCAGAAGAACAGACACACAGCCTCCGACGAAACACAACCAGAGCGCTCCTCAGAAACAGGGTGGCAAGGCTTCAACTCACTCACTTTGGACACATCACCAGCAAAGCGCAGTCCCTTGAGAAGGACATTGTGGTTGGTAAAGAACGGTCAGCAAAAACGAGAGAACCACCCAGGGTATGGGTGGACACAGAGCTGTAACACACCAGTGATCCTGAAGACAGCACAGGCCCAGGCAGCACTTTGTCCTCTTACCCATAAGGCCACCGTGAGTCGGAACTGAGTGGATGGCAACCAAGAACATTTGCGTCTTGTTGAGTGAGGACGTGGGGCTGGCCTCTTTCTAGCTGTGTGAACTTGGGAAAGTTAAGTTGCACATGAGCTCCAATCTCTGCCCCCAGGAATTGGGGTCATAATACATCTCCATACGCCCGCCCCATCCCTGCCTTCCAGCCCCACTACGTTTGGGCACCTTGACGGACCTCAGGTCCTTCGCTTCAGCCATTTCCGCTGTGTCAGGCTCTGTCCAGACAGTTGGCATGGATGGTTACTTCAGGTCATTCCCAGCTCATCTCACCTTTTTTCTCCCCTCAAAAAGGCCTTCACCTCATCTTCCCACCTGAATTGCTGGGATAATGGTCTGCTTTGTTTTCCTCCAGCATTGATCACTATATGGAATTACCCTTCACTTGGTCATTTCACTGTCTGTCACCCTAAAAGCAGGCACACAGCTGACCCGTTCACCACTATGACCCCTGTGACTCAGAACAATTCCAGGAGATAATACCCAAAAGTCAAACCAGCTGATGTCACCTTGACTCCAACTCATGGAGACACCATGTGCTGTGGGGCTCAGCAAATGAGCATTGAGAACAGGTAATAACCCAGGGGGATACACAGAGACCCTCAAAAACCCACCATTGTGAAAGGCTGCCTGTGGGGGTTATTGAGTCCATTTTCTATTATATAAAGAAGTTGTATTATTTGTTGGAATGCTTCTGCACGACAAAAAGAAAAAACTGCCCCCAAAATAATTCAAATAAATCTAATCATCAGCACATGGATGAGGTTGAGTGGCATATCTGCTGCCCTCAGGAACTGTCAGCATCCACCCCAACCTCAGCATATTTATCACAACAGCAAGCAGCCTGTGAAGAGGCATGGACCCTACCTAACAGTCTCTGATTGCTAGATAAACTGCAGCATCACACGCATTTCAAAGGCATAGCCAGGTTTCAAAGGCTGACTTTTCCCAGTGAAAAGTGTGTGATCACTGTTAGGTGCTATTGAGTGGATCCTGGCTCCTAGCAGCCCCACTGGACAGAGGAGAACTGCCCCATTGGGTGTCTAGGCCGTCATCTCATAGTAGCACATCCCCACATCTTTCACCCATGGAGCTACTGGCACGACAGTCATAGGTGAAAAATAAAAGTCATCTCCCCTCACGTGAAAAATACCAGTCCCTTTCTCTCTTTGCCTCTCCCCCCTTTCTTTCTTCCCTCTCTTACACACTTTTCTCCTCTCTCTCTCTCTGTCATATTGGCAAATGTCAATAGTTAAAACTCTCACCGGACCTGGAATTGAACTAATCATGAACACATCAACACCACCAAGGGACAGAGAAGGGATGCCATGCATCTTGAGAGAGAAGGCACCACAGGGGCACAGGTAAGGCCCTCTTTTGGCCCCATTCTCCTTTCACAAGTCCAAGAGCTCAAAGACTAAATGCAGGAACAGCCCCCTGCCTGGGGGGAGAGGGGACCACCAGAGTGTCCCCAGAATAGCAGTAGGTGGAGGCCCTCTTGGCTGCGGCTGGCATTCCACGGGCTTACTATGGTGGCCGATAAGCTATATAAAGGTTGTTTGGTGGCCACCACAGAGTGGGTGGAGAAAGCTAATTACAGCCAAGGCTGTGGGCTGGTCCTCAGTTTCTGTCCTGTGAGCTGTAGGAAGCTGAGGCTGAGCCCAAGCCCCTGAGAATCCCAGTCACACATGAACAGGCAAGAGTTTGCACAGTGGCACAGAGGTGCTTCCTTGGGGGTGCCACATGGACCTCAGGGTTGCCACTTGGAGAGGTCAAAGGAGGCATGACACCCAGGCTGTTCCCTGGGTAACAGTCTATATAGAAGAAGCGGGGCTAGTGGGACTAAGAGAGTGATGTGCATCACTCTGAACTCTGACCATCTTGACAGCATCCTTGCTGGTACTGCCCTTACACTTCCTTTCCCTGGAACTGAACACACTGCCAGCCATCACCCTGTGCCAAACAACACACAGGCTACAAACTGAACAGCAATGTGCTCCTCAGAACAGTCAGCCACACAGGACCAAGAGGGTAGCGTTTGCCCAAACACAAAGCTCAGACAGAAAGGGGCAGGAAAGAAGGAACATGGAATAGGGACCCCACAGAGGAAGGGGGATGAGTGCAGTTACATAGAGGGGACTGCAACCAATGTCCCGAAACAAACTATGTGTGAACTGTTGACTAGGAAACGAACGTGCTCTGCAAACTCTCACCCAAACCACAATAAAAGTAAATTAAAACAAACAAACAAAAAAACTGCTAATGAAGGATATAAATAAATAAATTGGAGATTATTTCAAGTACTGTGAGGTTCTGTCCTTCAGTCAATGGTCCCTCGTCACCATGTCCAAGCACCTCAAGGACAAAGAGCATGTAAGCTTAGTCACTGCAACCCTGGCACCTGCAGGTGCCCCAACAAAGAGGTAGCACCAAGAGTGTGGTTGTTGGATGGATGGGTGGGTGGATGGGTGGGGTGGGTGGATAGGTGGATGGGTGGGTACCCAGTACCTACAGGTTCCCTGACAAAGAGGAAGCACCAAGAGTATGGTTGTGGAAGGACAGATGGATGAGTGGATGGGTGGGTGGACTAGATTGAATTTAATGGCTACTACAAAGCATGACTGATGGATGAATGAATGGATTAGATGGAGCCCTGGTGGTGCACTGGTTAACCACTCAACTGCTAACTGAAAGCTCAGTGGTTTGAAACACCAGCCGCTCTGCAGGAGAAAGATGTGGCAGTCTGCTTCCGTGAAAATTGCAGCCTTGGAAACCCTATTGGGCCATTCTACTCTGTCCTATAGAGTCACTGTAAGTCAGAATTGACTTCTGAGCAACTGGTTTGGGTTTTTTGACAGTCCAGGGCAGAAGTCCCTAGTTGGCACAAATGATTTAGCACTCAACTATTAATCAGTGATATCAAAAGGGTTGATGTCAGCCAGTGCAGTAACCCATGGGTGTCACTTCCCTCTGTGCGCTGAGGGCCCTGAGCCCACCCTACCCCCATGCAGGGTCAAATGTTGCACTGTGTGGCCCTGCCCCGCACAGCTCCCCCTAGCTCTTCCCCTCTCCCATTGGACAATGAGGAGAACCTCTTCTCTGCCCAACGGTAGATGCCGGGGCCCACCAGCTTGCACACTGACTGGTAGGGGTGGTGGTGATGAGTTATCACAGGGGATCACAGGGTCTGATCCACAACCAGTCATGGGGATGGCACAGGACTGGGCAGCACTTTGTTCCATTGTGAATTTGGTCAGCATGAGTTGGGGCTGATTCAAGGTCAGCTAACAGCAACAACAGGAACAGACTGTGAGTTTCCTCTTGTCATTATAGACATGTGATGTTCTGGGCTGGCCCTTCTCTTGGTAACAGCCCCCAATTTTCCTTCATGTATCACACCCCTTTCCTTGAGGGAGTTGGGGGTGGAAATAAACTCCACTCTCAGAACTTAGGGTCATGGGGTTGAGGCCCAAAACAGCCCCCTGGTCCCACCCCAAGCTACAGTGACTGGTCGGGGAACAGTCACATGATCCACACTGGGCCAATATAACAAACCCCAGGACCACTGAGTAATAGTGTCCCATCTGCTCAGAGACCCTCCACTCACTTTCACACAAACGGCGCCTCAGCTTGCCGCGGATCTTGTCAATGGCATTGAAGTCCGACACATGGAAGATGTGGGCGGATGTGGGTGCTGAGGCAATCTCTTCCAGCTCTTCCTTCAGTGCCTTTCCCACGCCCACTGCGAAGATGCGAATGCCTGCCCGGTGTGCGGCCTTGGCCGCGTCCAGTACCAGGTCCTGGCTGCGGCCATCGGTCAGCAGGATGGCCACCTGCTTAAAGGCACGGTTGCCAGGTCGGCCACCAACTTGCGCGGAGAAGCTGTGGCTGGTGATGTAGCGCAGTGCGTCACCCGTGTTGGTGTGGCCCCCATGGTAGGCCAGCAGGCGCGCAGCTGCCTTGACCTCTTCCTGAGAGCTGAACCGGCCCAGCTCAAAGGCTGTGGAGGGCCGGTCGCTGTAGCGCACCACACCCACACGAGTGTGGTCAGGGCCCACCTCAAAGGTGTCTACCAGGTTGGCCACCCACTGCCGCACCTTCTCGAAGTCCTCCTTGCCCACACTGGAGGAGGTGTCCAGGAGGAAGACCAGGTCGTAGTGCACAGTTTTGCAACCTGCAGAGGTGAGAAAAAACATGTCTTAGGTACACGGGTCTGGAGAGGATGCTGTACTAGGGCTCTGAAGGAAACACACCTGACCCCAATACCCTTTTTGCCTCTCACTAGGTAGGAGGCCTTGCCTGCTGTCTTAATCACTGAGTGTCAGTGCCCCAGCTTCCACATGGCAATAATGACAAGTTTTCCACGTTGTGGTGAGGTTGGATTGACAACAGAGAGCATCACATCACGATATGCTACATTCGCAAAAGCCAAAACCTGAGTAAGGCAGAAACCTGTCAGAGAAGGAAAACGTAACTGTTTCCCACTAATGGAGAGTGAGAGGAAAGTGGCAAGACTGCACCCTTAAAGGCGGGAAACTTTTGAGACCCAGGAAAACAAGTAGGATTCCAGCTTTCACAGGTACATGTATTAACATTCATGGATCACCACGATGTCAGTCACTTTATACCCTTTGGTTTTAGTTACAGAGCAAATTCATGGCTTCTCTAATTTACTGCAGGTAATGCCTGCTCATTTCAGAAAAGGCCATCAAAATGTTTTCGGGCCAACATTCCCATCTTCACAGAGGTAACCTCCGTAAAACCGCTTGTTGTTGTTAGGTGCCGTCAAGTGGGCTCCGACTCATGGCGACCTTCTGTACAGAACAATGAGATAGCGCCTCACAATCCCTGCTGGGCTGGAGTGGGCTCCGACTCATGGAAACCTTCTGTACAGGACAACAAGACAGCACCTCACAATCCCTTCTGTGCTGGAGCCCGTTGTTGCAGCCACTGTGTCCATCCATCTCACTGAGGGTCTTCCTGTTGTTGGCTGACCCTCCACTTTACCAAGTATGAGGTCCCACTGCTAAACCAGGGTGAAACCATTGCTGAGCCAATTCTGGCTCATGATGGCTTTGTATGTCAGAGAAGAACTGTGCTCTCCAGGCTGTTTTCTGATTTTTTTAAAGATCTAATGAGTTTAATGGCTCCCTTGATTTTTCAATGCTGATTTTTTAGAAGTATATGGCCAGATCTTTCTTCCAAAGTACCTCTGGGTGGACTCGAGCCAAAAAAAAAAAAAAAAAACCCGCTGTCATCAAGTCAATTCCCACTCCCAGTGACCCTGTAAGGACAGAACAGAACTATTCCATGGAGTTTCCAAGACCGCAACTCTTTACAGAAGCACACGGTCTCTCACCTCACCTTTCTCCCAGAGAGCAGCTGGTGGTTTGAACTGCTGACCTTCTGGTTAGCAGCCAAAAGCTTTAACCACTGCACCATCAGAGCTCCTTATACAAGTGTAAAGAGGTTCTTTAATGTGTTGTAAATATATTTTTGTGTTTTAATGAATATAAATTTCAAATAAACTGAGCACCGTTTTCGGTGAAGCTGAACAAGGCACTGTTTCATTCATTTCAGATCCAGACAGCAGTGCTGCCAGAGAGCCTACTCATCCTCATTTTCCAATCAGATGAAATGAGGAGAAAGCGTTCTTGAAGCTCAAATGTGCTGTACAGATGAAGGACACTATAAGAAGTGCCAGGCTTGACTCTTGTTGTTCATTGCTGTTGAGTCAACTCTGCCTCATGACAGCCCCGTGTGTGCAGAGTTGAACTGCTCCACAGGGTTTCCAAAGCTGTCATCTTCTGGAAGCAGATCACCTGGCCTTTCTTTTGAGGGCCTCCACAAGGATTTGAGGCACAACCTATCAGGTAGGAGTCAAGCACTTATACGTGTGTTAAGCCATCCAGTTACACAAGATGAAAAGAAAGAGCAGTGGTGTGAGCGTGTGGGGGGCGACATGACACACTGGACAAGCAGCTATGGGATCTCTCATACTCACCCTGAGGGCTCCATGGCCTGTGAAGGAGGGTACTTTTTTTTTTTTTAAATCATGGTTTGGGTGAAATTTCACAGAGCAAATTCATTTTCCATACAATGGTTCATATATATTTTGTTTCATGACATTGATTGCAATCCCCATAATGTAACAGCTCTCTTCCCACTTAGGCATCTTTTGATACAAAAATTACAGACTGAGTGACTTATCCTAAGAAAGCAATCAGACAAGTGGGAAATACAAATGGAGGTGTAAGGAAATGCACTGCAGCATTTGAAGCAAAATCCTGCAGAGCACCTGCACGGTCACCACGGGGAACGGCATATGCAGAAAGGAGCACGTATCCACACAGTGGAATACCGGGCTGCCATTGCAGTGATGGCTATCGAGGGCCCATGTTTACCAACATGAGTAACTTAGCCAATATAACTTTGGGTATAGAGAGCTGTACAGAACATACGTAACAGACTTCCTGCACAGGTAGCCTGCATCTGTGTGTCTCCACATATGCAATTGTAGGCAAACATGTATGTGGAAGAACCTGCAGGGGAAACATTGCTGACCTCCAAGCAAGAGATCAGGATTTTCTTTACAGCCTTTTGTATTTTCTGATTTTATATTTGCTGGCAATTAATTAATTTTGCTGCCTGTATTCACACACACACACACACACACTTAGTTTCCCATCCCAGCCTGAGCCAATACCACTCCTGAATTTTCTTCATAGACCTTTCCTTTTAGTTCTAAATTCAAGTTGCAATCTATGACTCTGGAGGAGATAAACCTCTGATTCAGCAGGCTTGATCCCAGCAGGATTAGAGTTTGTGGAGCGTATTTGCCCAGATGTGGGGACTCAGAGATAATTCCTGGGAAGTTTTTCTCCTTGATACAAAGCTCATCCTTTTGTTTTGGGGACTAAAGTCCCCAGCCTGTTCAGGGTAACTGCTGTGGAGAGCCAGCCAGGACCTGGCCTGCAGGCCGCAATCTCAGGTCCATTTGTTTTAAGAGTGCAGAAGGTTCGCTGCTCTGGGAGGCCTTACCACAGAGCCCTTCACGGCTCTCGCTAGATTTTCTCCTGGAGGCCAGAAGCAGACTGGGCCATGGACACATGAGAATTAAGTGTGAGGAAGTGGAAAGGGCTCTGAAGAACATGGGGGCCAGCACCCTAGCTCTTGCTCTGCACGTGACCTGACAGGTGACTGCTTCCCCCGAGACCACCATTTCCCCCCAGCAGTACTTTAAAGGTTCCCCTTTTGCTGTTGCCTGAGCTCATATGTTAAGTGATTGGATGCTGTCTCCCTCTCTCTGTCTCTCCCCCACCCCACCCCCCCACACACACATACATGTGCTCTTGCTGGACAACTGATAATTCATTTGCACAGCTAACCACCTGCCTCTTGGACAACTGAGGCACTCCCTCTAACTCACTCCTGATAGCATACGCATGCACCCTGCACTCACACACATGGACAGACACAAGGACATGCACAGCATGCGAAAGCCCACCTGCCCTCTGTGCTTGACTGAGACTGCCCCCACTCCACAGCAGCAGCATCCAGAGCAGGAAGGCCAAGGGGTTCCCGCGGAGGCCGCCCATGGCTTGCTTCTGCTTGGGGATGAGTGTTTCTTGGCCAGGAAGAGACTCTGTTAGGGTTTATAAGAACATCTCCTGTGTGGAGAAAGACACATCTTTAGAGAAGGAGGGAGGCCATCAGAAGTGACTCCTAAGCCTGCTCACCCTCATCCTCCTGTCTCAGACTCAGCTTCTCACAGCCACCAGGATGGCTTTCTAAAGAGCAAGGCCAATTGCCACCTTCCTCTTCCTTAGTCCATCCATCCATCACTGCATCCACCTAATCGACCATATGTGCTGAGGACCCTCAGTACACACAGCCATCCATCCATCCATCCGTCAATCCCTCTATCCACCAATTACCACATGTGTATTGAGGACCCTCAACACACCCACCCACCCATCCATCTATCCATCTGTCCATTCCTCTATCACCCAGTTAACACATGTGCATTGAGGACTCCCAGTCCACCCACCCGTCCATCCTTCCATCCATCCATCTGTCCATCCCTCTATCTATCCATCCATCTGTCCGCCCCTCCATTCACCTGATTATCACACGTGTACTGAGGACCCTCAGTCTACCCACTTATCAATCCTTCCATTCATCCCTGCATCCACCCAAATAACATGCGTGTATTGAGGGCCCTCCAGAACCCATGGTAAGACTTGGGGATGAAGAGAGGAGTAGGAGAGGGTCTTGGAGCTTGAGAACCTCACAAGCCCTCAAGTTTCCACCCAAGGCCCCTCAATAAACCTTCCTCATCCTCTGCTCAACAAGGCGCACATAACTCACTGTGGTCTGCCCACCTCTGTCCACTGTATCCCTCACCTCTCTACACTCCCCACCAAGCTGCACTGGTAACTATGAACCATCCGGCTATTTCCCCCATGATGGCAGGTCTAGGACACCCCTTGTTTCTTTGGGAGGTTTACCCCTTGCTTAGAATCCCCACTCCCACTCTGAACCCCCCAATAGGACTCTGCTCAGGTGTCCCTTTTCCATAAAGTTTTCCCAGCTAGATGAGGACTACACTTCAGCTCCTGCAGGACCCTGGCTCCCAAGGTCCCCTTCTCCTAGCAGTGGGCCATTATTTGATTATCCATTTGTGGTATCAGATACACACACATACACACACACAGCATGAGCCCCAGAGATGGAGCCAAGCTGACTCAACTCTATGCCCTTGACATTGGTTATAGCCCCTCACACATGGTCAGTTTTCAGTAAACTCCTCTGAGTGGAGAAGCGAAGAATTCTTCAGGAGAGCCCAGAGCCCCAAGCCCTGCAATGGCAGGGAAGTTATATCAAAGGCAAAGGGCAAATCATTGTAATGAGAATCATTCTGCTACACGTAACAGGTGGGTACATTATTTGTCCCTTTGGGATTTTAGTAAAAGGGAAAATGGTAAGTGGTTAGCAAGGGAGAAAGTTGGGAGCCAAAGCATTTGATCTATGCATTTAAGCATCAAAAGTGAAGCTGACATGGTCAACAGTCAGTGGGAAGTGATGCTGATGTGGACAGTGATCCATGAAAAGTGATGCCAGTCAATGTGTACAATGATCAATGGGAAGTGATGCAGATGTGCACAGTGGTCGATGGAAAGCGATGCATGTGGGCAACAGTCAATGGGAAGACTACAGAGGACCACAGGAACACACCCCACAGACTGGACGCCTACTGCACCATGAGTGCCCTGGACCATGGCAGGAAGAGGACCCGGGAACACAGAAACCATGGGCTTAGCAGGAGGAGGAGCTCATGGGTGTGTGCATATGTGTGTGTGTGCATGTTTCCTTTTTACGATGTTTTCTTTCTGAATTGTGTTGCTACTTCAGCTTTTTGCTTGTGACAATTTAAAACAATTTATAGTGTGCACGAGACCCAGAAGTGGTTGTTCCTGCTATTAGTTACCATGAAGTTGAGAGTCAGTTCCCACTCACGGCAATCCTATGTGTGCACAGTAGAACTGCTCTATAGGCTTTTCAAGGCTGTGACCTTTAGGCTGCAGATTGCCAGACCTGTCCTCTGAGTGCCTCTGGATGGGTGCAAACTGCCAACCTTTCGGCTAGTAGTCCAGGGTAGATAAGCTAGGAAGAAAAAATTAACAGAGCTAGACCTGATGCTAAACTCTCCAGTGTCTGGGATGATCTCTCTCTCTCTCTCTCTATTGTTTTCTTTCTCTCTCACACACACACACTCTGGATAATATCAGGAGATCAAGTCGAATGCATATTTGAAATCATGACCCCTGCCCTCTGCTCACCCCTCAGAAGGAAGGTTGGGCAATCTACTTCTGTAGTGATACCACCTCGGAAAACCAAGGAGGGGTCGCTATGAGTCAGATCTGAGTCGATGGCAGTGCATGTCCCCTGCCCCTGCTGCCCCCACAAGGTCCACCCTCCAGCCTCACGGGGTTCCTGCAGCTTCAGGATGCACCCAGTGCTTCTGTGCAGGCTGCTCCCTGATGGTAGAATGCTATTCCCCAACTTGGCCTTGTGGTTGTCCAGCTTAATTTCAATCTGTTCTTGCAATATCCTGCGGGTTAGCTGTAATCACCCCATTTCATAGATTATAAACTGACTTATAAGAAGCTCTGTTGAGGCAGTGGTCAAAGCATCTGGACACTAATCAAAAGGTCAGTGGTTCAAACCCACCAGCCACTCTGTGGGAAAAAGATGGGGCCGTTTGCTTCTGTAAAGACTTGCAGCCTGGGAAACCCTATGGGGCAGCACTACTCTATCCCGTAGGGTCACTATGAGTTGGAATAGACTTGTTGGCAGTGGATTATTTGAAGTGACTTCTGCTAAGGGAAGTAACTGGCCCCAGATCACATTCCCAGAAGCAGTTGAGCAGGAATCGGAAACCTTGTAATTAGCGAGCAGACACAAAACTCTGAGAAAAAGCGGCTCTGGTCCCAAGTTCATATAAGCCACCCAGTGTGGGACTTTGTTACAACAGCCTTCGGAAACTAAATGTGGTGCAGTGCTTAAGCGCTTGGCTGCTAACGGAAGGGTTGGTTGTTGGAATCCACCTATTGGCTCCGATGGAGAGAGACCTCATGATCTGCTTCCATCAGGACCCCAAACCCTGCTGTCGAGTAGATTCCGACTCATAGAGACCCTGTAGGACAGCATGGGGCTGCGCCCAAGGGGTTCCAAGGCTACAATCCTTACGGACGCATTTTTCTCCCGAGTGGTGGATTCTCCACAAACATTGCCGACTAGAAAACCCTATGGGGGCGGTTCTACCGTCACATGGAGTCGCCATCAGTCGAATGGACTTGACAGCACCCAACAACAATGACAAGAAACTAACACAGCATGTAGCTTCTGCCAAGCACACACCTGGCAGTGACAGAGCTCGTCTGGGACCTAGGTCTACCTGACACCAAAGCCACGCTCTCTCCACAACTAATCATTATTAGCACATGGATATGCTAAGAACCAGGAGCGGTTCGGAGGCTTTTATACAAAATAGTTCATTTAATCTTAACAGTAAGTATCCTTAGCACCAAGGAGGAAACCGAGGCACACGGGGCTTACAGAGCCTTGCTGTGATTCTGTACTGAGAAGCCAGGATTGAAACCCCAGCAGTCTGACAGCAGGCCAATACGCATACCCATTTGGCAACACTGCTTCTCTCCGGGTGTCTGGAAGCAGGTTGGAGCAATGTTTATGTCTTAAGCACTGGAGGAGCGAGAGAGACAAGCAAAAGCTACAGGAAAGAGTGGGCAAGGGCAGCAGAGGGGACAAGGCTGCCATGGAATGTGCTGTCAGATCATATCCTGGAGAATGCCCTCCACCCAGGAATCAGGGGATGAAGCAAGGAAGACTGGCTGAATCCCTGACTCCGCTCCTTGGGGCTCTAAAAAACAACCAAACTCATTGGCATTGAGTTGATTCCACCTCATAGTGACCCCGTTTGGGTTTCCAAAGTGGTATCTCTATGGAAGCGGATTGCCCAATCTTCCTTCCCAGGAGTGGCTGGTGGGTTTGAACCGCCAGCCTCCTGGTTAGCAGTCAAATGCCTTAGGCACTAGGCCACCAGGGTTCCTTGGGGCTATGCAGGAACATTTGTTATACTCCATGCTATCACCCATAAACCCAGCACAGGTTCCATCCCATCAGAAGGGTGTTGAGAGAGACGTGAAATGAAGTCTGCAAAGCATACAACACGGCTCCTGGCCCACTCTAAAGATACCCCCAAAACCCCCCACGCTGTCGAGCTGATGCCAATTTACCACGACCCATGTGTTTGGGCAGAAGTGCTCCATACGAGTTCTGGCTATACCCACTGCCCCGCTGCCGTCACGTCAGTTCCAACTCAGTGACCCTCTGGGACAGAGTAAAGCTGCCCAATCGGAGCTCTGGTAGCACAGTGTCTAAGGCATTTGACTGCTCACCAGAAGGCTGGAGGTTCAAACCCACCAGCCACTCCTCAGAAGGAAGGCTGGGTGATCTATTTCTGTAGAAATATCACCTCAGTTTTTTAATAGGACGTCCAAGGCTATAAATCTTAATGGAAGCAGACTGGCTCCCTTTTTTCTTATGGAGCGGCTAGTGGGTTCAAACTGCTGCTCCTTTGGCAGCAACTGAATGCCTTAACCACTACGCCATCAGAGCCCCTTTCATTGGCTATAATCTTTACCAAAGCAGACAGCCAGGCCTTTCTTCAGAAGTGCCGCTGGGTGGGTTCGAACCATCAACCTTTAGGTTAGTACTCAAGCACCAACCATTTGCACCAACCAGGACTTTGGCACACACTGGGTGCTCAGGAAACATGAGCTGTTTTGCAGCCCAGGCCCCCAGGCTCCCAGCCCAGGTGCAGCCCCAGCAAGGGCAGGTACCCTCTCTCCACGTCTCTCCCCCAGGCCCTGAGCTTCTTCAAGGATCCAGCTATAGAGCTGGCACCATGTAGGTCAAACCCTTGACCCTGAGAGGCAGAGCTCTGCCAACAGTCCCCTCAAAGTCCAGCAATTAATTTACTGAGCTGGCTTCCTTCCACCAAATGGCCCATCGC